GTTCAAGTAGGGCATTATATTGGTTGATAATGGTCTGGATAATCCGATTAAACCCGAGGATCATTCAAGTCATCTAGCATTTAACGGACACTAAAGTTGGCCCATTTTCACAGTGCATTAAAGTATGTAAATAATCGACACCGCCGCCCTTCCCACCTGTTGTCCTCGTCCCAAGTCTGTAAATCAGTCGTCGGCTTGCTGTCCGTCTGTCTGGCCGTTTGTCTGTTCGTCCTTCTGTCTTTTGGCTGTCCGTATGTCTGTGTCACTGTTTGCCAGTCCGAGGGTCGGTCATTCTGCTGGTTGTTAAGCCTGTTGGTCGGTCAGATAGGTCGGTCTGTCAGCCCGTTCGTCTGTTTATTCGTCAGACTGCACGTCATCCAGTGGGTGGTCTGGTTCTGGTTCTGGTCTGGTTCAGTCTGGTTCCCCTTCCCTGCAGTCAGCCCTCCCTAAAAGACACTCACTTCCCCCCCCCCCCCCCATCTCCCTCGTTTCTCTCTCTCTCTCTCTCTCTCTCTCTCTCTCTCTCTCTCTCTCTCTCTCTCTCTCTCTCTCTCTCTCTCTCTCTCTCTCTCTCTCTCTCCCTGTCTCGCTCTCGCATTTGCTCTCGCTCTCGCTCTCGCTCTCGCATTCGCTCTCGCTCTCGCTCTCGCTTTCGCTCTCTCCCTCGCCCTCGCTCTTGCTCTCACTCTCATCTCTCTGTCTCTCTCTCTCTTTCTCACTCTCTCTCTCTCCCTCTCTCTCTCTCTGTCTCTCTCTCTCTCTCTCTCTCTTCCTCTCTCCTTTATCCTTTGCCCTCCCACTAATTATGGCCGTGGAAGGTCCCTACATTGCGGGTGGTGTCAATTGTTTACATAATACGAGAGGAATCACGATGGTAAACAATCAGTACAACAGGTGCCCAGCGCGCCGAACTCGCAATAGCTTGTCGCCTGTGGCAGACAGAAACGGTCCCCGTGGCCCGAGCAGCCACTGTGCCGAGCAGACGCCCGCACCCCGATAATCCTCATTGTCCGCTCGGGTCGCGGCGGCGACAGGTCATTAGCGCATACCAGCCGGCCGGCGCCGGGTCAGGGCACGCCGCCGTCTGGTCGGGGAGACCCCAAGAGGGGAACAGCGGACGACCGTGCCGTATGGACGGCTAGTGCCTCCAGTCCAGTTAGCCCGCTGCCGAGCTCGCTGCCGAGCTGGCCGACCGAGTTGACGGGTGGTCCAGTGCGACGGTCACCCCTGAATGACGTCACTATGGCCTGGGTGATGCGCGGCACCGATCATAGCCAAATATGCTCTGCGCGCCACCCCGTGGCGTAATAGAGCATCACCCCTTCCTGGAGACGGTCCAGAGGGCCATCCTACACAAGCTGGCATGGCGTCCCGCGCTATTCTTAAGCAGAAGGCGTCCTCCCGACCCCAGTGAGCGGTCATTAAGGGGGATTATCTGCCAGCGGGGAGCAGAGTCCGTCCCAGAGGGGCGGAGGTGGTGCGTTATGGGCAGCTACTGGTTCTATCCCAGTAAAGGGCTGCAAAGTTCACTGCAGAACTGGCCGATCGCTGTCAAGGGCGTGACATCTGCCCTCAGGCAATGTGAAAGGAGATTTCGTCGATCGGTGCCCTCCGGGGGCCATGCAGGCCGCTCCAATTGTGTATTTGACGGGTGCTATAGCACCGGCCCACGTGTGCTCTCCCGGACCGCGCCCACTATTCAGGGTAACTGAGAAACACACGGTGATCGTCCTCGTGACGTCATGGGCCTAATGCCAACAGTGCCCTCAGATGAGTGACGTCATAGGCCCGGAGCCCTCGGTACGTCGGGCTAATCATGCCATTCATATGCATTTACATTGGAGAGTAGGAAAATGACTTATTTGGAACCTTTGATGACGTCATCGGAACTACTCTTGCCGTGACCATCGATAAGTGACGTCATTGACACAGGACTCTCGACATGCCGGCGCAGGGTGCACCATTCATACGCGCGCACCTCTGGGAACAGTAAAAGTCTCATTCCGACCCTTTGATGACGTCATTGATTACAGTTCGAAACCCGGTTCGGCGACCAATGTGCGTATGGCCCTGCTTTCTTAGATTCTGTGTCGGCAGCAGTGGTAATTTCAGTATGTTAAGGGCGAACATGGTCGTAGTTTTGTTTTTTTTTATGTTTTTTAAGGATGGGATAATTTAGGAGGGATTACGAGCCAGGTATGGGATAAGTGATACAAAGATGGGATACATGGGTCAACGCAATGCTTAGGGGCTGCGAGGCTGTCTATGCATGTGGCACCTCTGTGTGTGATAAGCCCACCGACGCGACTACTTCACTGATGAGAGATGGGAGTGGGGAGGAGAGTTTCAATTAAGCTATTGAATGACTAAACTATGGTAAATGTATTTCAGTGCTCGTTTAAGTTGGTATCGAGTCAGAACGAGATTACAGTTCACAGGGAAGGTTATAGAGAGCCAAGGTAGTAAGAGGGTAGGAAGGCCGGACTAATGGGGGGTACAGGTCGGGTACGAGTAAGACCACCGGGAGGTCAGGACGTTAGGTTACTGTGCCAAGAGGAGGTCGGGGAGTTACGGTTAAATTCAGGTGTATGAGACGAGGAAGTAGTACATTTGGTTATTGTGTGCTGGACACTAAGGAGGTCGGCTCTGTGGACTTGTTTCGTAGGTTCTCCGTCCTAAGGTAGTTAGATATAGATAATTTTGTTTACTTGATTATTTTGTACGCGTTTTACTCTGAGTCATTTCGAGACAAACGTATTTCGGACCAAGGTTCAACATCATTTCAGTAGACAGTGACGACGACCCAAGTGACTCAAACAACATGCTCTTACGTTTGAATGATCTGGCTCGTCAAATACCCCTCTGGATGTTTCTACGGCGTAAGCCGGGCAAAATAAATAGCCGTGTCTCGGTCACGGCTAAGACCCATATGATTTATAAGTCCTGATGACTCAGGCGGGAAACCGGTGGGGTGTGACGGAGCATTCACGATGAGTGTACAGGCCGTCGCACCACCTGGCTTTGGGGAGGTGCCAGAACGGTGCCTTTCAGATCTTATATCTCCCCAATGACCAGCTCAGAGGGACACAGAAAGTGTTGCTCGATTACGGGAGGTTCTCATGCATGAATGCTCGATTCAGGGTGTGAGTTTTCCCCGGTATTGCGTGAGGGCACAGCGTCTCACGAACGTGGATTGTCGCGGAGAGAGCCACCGTACGGGATTGTTCACCCGTTCGTCAACATCTCGGCCGCCGGAGTGGTTCTAAAGCGAGGGTCGATCGGCATGGATCGGTATACCCCTCAGGCAGGAAGCATTCCACCCGCCTTTAACTCCCCACTCCGGTATCAAAAAGTTAAGTTATACCCGGCGTATTCTGCCGAACGGGGTCCACCGCAGGAGCCCTTTCACCAGCAGATCACGAGAACGGATTTGGTTAGGGCCTGGTCACGCTGAAAATTATTGTGCACGGATAGCGCAGGAAAGCGCGGGAAGATATTCAGGGAGGTCAAGGAAGGGTATTTATTGCGCCGGGGTGGCGCAGGGAAGGAGACCGGCTTGAGTTCCGGTGCCGGCCAGGTAACATTTTACAACCACGCGTTCGTGTCATGTGACTGCTGTAAGTCGGCATTGGCCCTGTCGCAGTTAGTCAGGTAGCTATGGCCACGCGGTGGTTTATTTTCTTGTGTAGGGTCTGCGACGGCAGTTAAAGGAAGGGTGACTCGAAGGTTGTAAGAGCTCGGGTGGCGTCCCGAGGGGGGGGGGGGGACTAGAACATCAGAAAGGTGTATTCATATTTGTCTCAAGAACCTGGAAGGGGGAGTCGCTCCAGAATGGCGCACAGTACACTCCCTCAGGCCAGATGCGGGGCAGTGGCAGAAAGGTCGGCTGTTCCTAGGCCACGGGCGGTGAAGGGACCCGGGGGGCGTGGGAGGAGGTATACCCCACAGCCGTGGTTTGTCGTTGGTGGAAGCCACGGGGACGAGGTAGGTGAATCGTCGGAGTTTCGGCCACCCGAAGTGATTCAAAAGGAGGATCGGAGGAAGTCCCCTCTCTCAATGCAGGGAGAATCCGGCCTGCTATTAAAATCTCACTTCGACAAAAGTTAGGTTCTGTCCATCACGGAAACCCCGGTATAGTGCTACCTGCGGAGCCTAACTGACGGATCTGTGACCCGGGGGATAGGCAGGGCACGGCCGCACCACCGGCGGCGTGGAAGTTTGGTCCATCACATGCCGGTTCTGCTCCGGCATGTGACCGCGGCGTTAATGTTAGGATTTTAGGCCTCCGCTGCCGTAGATATCAGAAAGAGGGGAGGGCCAAGATCCGACAAGGTATGACGTGTATGTTATTGTCACTCGATCGGTATTATCTATGATGATTGAGCCATATTGGTTAATTGTAAACGGAAATCGCAAGGTGAGTAAAGCCGGTTGGAGTTAACGAGTATTTTGGGAAGGGTTGTATTTCTTTTAGGGGCGAGCTTTAAGTTAAGAGAGAACGATAGCAGTCGAATGGGAATAATACATTTTATCAAGCAACGGACGTAAATTCTAAGGAGGAAATTTCCAGAGATCATGTATAATGGTAAAGGACAAAGGTTTTGACGCATGCTTACGAACGGCTACTGTACACCACTGGGGGAGGTTAGGTAAACAGGGAGGGGCCAGTTTAGCGACCTGGCGTTTTAATTTGTATCAAAGGAAGGTATGCATGATGGTGTGAATGGGAGCATGAATGGTTATATCCAGTGGGAGGCGCCCCTCTGTGCAGTTAATGGAATTTGCAGCGTTAATGAACTTTTGTTATTTTAGTCCTTTGATCGGGGAGAGAGATTTATCAGGGTAACCTTGTCAGAAATCCTTTTTTTTGCATTCCAACTTAACCCCATTGCCCACTCCATCAGTGCAGCAGTCTATGTGCCCGCCAGTGACTGACCAGCCTCGCAAATCAAAACAAAATACAATATCTTGCAGCCGAGCCCCGCTACATAGGTACAACATTTTATGTAGACATTGTATTAGACGCTCTCCGCTATAAATATTTTATTCCGCAATTCGTTGTTGAATTACAAATGAGAAAGAACACATGACTGAAAGTGGCTAAATTAGTGGTATCCGTATCCCCTGCCATATCCACCGTATCCGTAACCACCACTATATCCGTATCCACGCGCGCCACCGTATCCATATCCGCGGTTTCCGTATCCGTCATATCCACGGCCGGCGCCGTATCCGTATCCCCCGTATCCGCGGTTGGCGTCGTATCCATAGCCACCATACGAGCCACGGCCGGCACCATATCTGTCATATCCGTGGCTCAGTCCGTAGCCTCCGTATCCGGATACGGATCCATATCCGTATCCGCCATATCCTCCCTGATGTGCTCCGTATCCGGTGCCGTATCCAGTGCCGTATCCACCACCGTATCCATACCCGGCGCTGAAAGATAACCGGTGATTGTTAGATGCCCACCATTTAAATCCATCGCATCCATTATAATTGAAAACTTATTCCTGATTAAGGTCAATTTATGACTAGGTTGTGCTTACATATACGTAACGAACAATAGGCGAAATATTGCATCTTTATATGTGTCAATTAAGTAATTGTTAACAATATTTAAAAACCAATGGCATTTCATAGCAGTAGGTGCAAAAAAGTGAACTGAAAAGCCAGCTCCGTCACGCAGCCATGTGGGTCAGCATTTGGTTGGCCTGCTCCGTCACACATCCTAGTGAGTCAGCATTTGGTTGGCCAGCTCCGTCACACAGCCTAGTGAGTCAGCATTTGGTTGGCCAGCTCCGTCACGCAGCCTAGTGAGTCAGCATTTGGTTGGCCAGCTCCGTCACGCAGCCTAGTGAGTCAGCATTTGGTTGGCCAGCTCCGTCACGCAGCCTAGTGAGTCAGCATTTGGTTGGCCTGCTCCGTCACGCAGCCTAGTCAGCATTTGGTTGGCCTGCTCCGTCACACAGCCTAGTGAGTCAGCATTTGGTTGGCCAGCTCCGTCACGCAGCCTAGTGAGTCAGCATTTGGTTGGCCAGCTCCGTCACGCAGCATAGTGAGTCAGCATTTGGTTGGCCTGCTCCGTCACACAGCCTAATGAGGCAGCATTTGGTTGGCCTGCTCCGTCACACAGCCTAGTGAGTCAGCATTTGGTTGGCCTGCTCCGTCACGCAGCCTAGTCAGCATTTGGTTGGCCTGCTCCGTCACACAGCCTAGTGAGTCAGCATTTGGTTGGCCTGCTCCGTCACGCAGCCTAGTGAGTCAGCATTTGGTTGGCCAGCTCCGTCACGCAGCCTAGTGAGTCAGCATTTGGTTGGCCATCCGTCACGCAGCCTAGTGAGTCAGCATTTGGTTGGCCAGCTCCGTCACGCAGCCTAGTGAGTCAGCATTTGGTTGGCCAGCTCCGTCACACAGCCTAGTGAGTCAGCATTTGGTTGGCCAGCTCCGTCACGCAGCCTAGTGAGTCAGCATTTGGTTGGCCTGCTCCGTCACGCAGCCTAGTGAGTCAGCATTTGGTTGGCCAGCTCCGTCACACAGCCTAGTGAGTCAGCATTTGGTTGGCCTGCTCACCCGTAGGTGGGATGGACGATCTCAGTTCCGTACGAGGACGTGCCGTAACCGTCAGAACTGGAAATACGGAAAGACGTCAGATAAACTAAAGGTAAGTGATAAACCAACAAACAATAAGAAGTTTGCATACATGCCCTATAGCAGGCGCATGTTAAACTTTATTCTCACAGGTTTAATTAACACTACTTTCAAGTGTTTAACGTTTTACTTTTCAATTACTTCAAACGTTATTACCTGAAAACCTTGCATTGCTACATAGTTACGTTTTGCTGTCGCTCATGCTGGTTTTCAACGTGGACTTGAAACAATTTTCATACATGATCGTACGGTTGGATTGGTTTCTATTGATATTTTTGTGGATATGATAACTAGGCTTGCTTTCACTTTACTTCATCGTAACGTATGAATTTATTTGCCCATTGTACACTTACGGTGATCCATGGGTGGTACATTTATGCTCCTGCACTGTTTACATGTTTTTCGTTGCAGTTGAGACTCACGTGTGGACACGGGTGTAGCTCTGGGCGGTTCCGTAGCCGCTGGCTGCGGCGGCGGCCACGGCGGTCGCCAGGACGACGAGCTGAAACACCAACCGGGCCAGCAGAGGTAATTCAGGGCTGTAAGGGGTGCTGGCGGTGTGGGACTTCTCTCGTTCCTCTGCCAGCATTCTTGAGATTGAACCCGAAGAACGGATTTCTTTCTTCCCAACGTAATTTGTTTCGCTAATGCTGATATGCTATGGACAGATATCTCGTAATGAAAAGCTGGGGTAGTTTGGACAAAATGTCATATCCATCACATGTCTCATGCACGCGCTCTCAAAAGTTCCGCTCCACCACCAACAGGGCCCGCATCCACCATTCCGCCCTCCCACATCCACCACTCTGCCCTTCCACATCCACCACTCTGCCCTTCCACATCCACCACTCTGCCCTCCCAGTCCCACATCCACTACTCTTCCCTTCCACATCCACTACTTAGCCCTCCCACATCCATCACTCTACCCTTCCACACCCATCACTCTGCCCTCCGACATCCACCGACCACCACTCTACCCACCCGCATACACCGCTCTACCCTTCCACATCCACCACTCTGCCCTCCACCTCACTCTCTCTGCGCCTCGCCTGAGCCTCACGCCTCTCCACTACACCACTCTCTCCACACCGCCACTCTCCCTCTTCACCAGCCCTTTCTCCCCTCCTTCCCCCAACCCCCTTCCCTCCCCAGCTCTGTGCTCCATTCCACCTACCTTGATCATTGTGGGTGCTCCCTGAAGGCGCCTGGCTGACTGACTAGCCTGGGACCGAGCTCGCAGTTGATATATACCACCCCCGGTGGGGGGAGAGGGGAGGGGAGGGGAGAGGTCAGTGACGGGGCTCCTCCCTAACCCCCTCCCCCGTGACCCCGAGACGTGAGGGCGCCCAGTTGTGTACGACGCTGTCGCTCGAAGGTCAAATCGCTCAGATAGGAGACGCACGTAGCTGGAGTAGTAGTTTGAGCCGCGGTCAAATAAGCGTCATTTTCAGCGATGTCGTAGCCGGCGCATGACACGTGCAAAATGACCAGAGCACGTGCAGAAACCGTAATGATTGGGTTGGTAGGCGTGGTTAATCAAATGAGATTCTTTGGCACTCGTAACACAAATGCGTTCGCGATCGCATTGCAGTTTGATCATTGATGTGTGCAGTGTGAGTCAGTCAGAAATTGAAGCTTAACGGTCTTCCCTGCAACTTAACATTTGGGCAGGAAACAGCGGGGCATTTCGATTTGACTAAAAATTGGTACTCACACACACACGGGCTGCTCGGTGCGCTGATTCCGAAAATGTACCTCTCTTTTGTGAAGTATTTCGCTGATATCAAAATGCTAACGGGTCATTACCTCGGTAACGGCGCAAAATACCACCTTAAAGTTGTACATTTTCGAAATCAGTGCGTCAAGGAGGCCGTATATACCATGTTCAGCCAAATCGAGACACCTTGTAATATGCTGCTCTGAGGCTGATACAGCTTCTGCTGAACTGACAGGCGTACAATTAGCTTAGTAATACAAATAATATCATCACGGCCTTTCCAAACGTCATGCTTAGAAATGGAATGCTTAAGTTCTGTCTGTATATTATTGGCTGCTTGGAGTTACTAAAATCAGCACTCCAACAAACCACCCACGATCACCTAATGTTCTCTGAGGAAGCCCGTTTCTCCAACCATTAGTCGCCGTATCTCTAACTGTGCGTGCTTCAGGCCATCCCAGGATGTTTGTGACCGCAGCAAAGATACCACCGAAGCCGCTATCAGCGACCCTGAGCGCTACGCTGCGTGCGCGCTTGTTGCAATGGCATCGCGGCTGGAAGCCTGACGTTGTAGGAACTGTCGAGCAAAGCAACGAGTATATGCAGCGCTGAATTTTTGCATGAGTGAATGAGTTTGGGCTATGAAACATGGAACGCGAAACGCTTATCGCCAGGTGGCAAATGAAGCTAATGGAGCGAGTATTACCGTCGCTTTGGAGTCATAGGCGTGGCGAACAGCGATCATTTTGCAACAATCGCTGAAATGTGGCATTTGTTATTGGTCAAGCATGAGTAATACACAGAAGGACTCATTTTGGCAGACGTGCGTTAGTAGAAAGTTGATAGCAAATTTGAATCGCATTATTCTCGCCATTTACGCGTGGTCATCTGCTGACTATAACTATACTATACATCTATAGACGGCTGAGTTTCGCCGCCCGCATCCGTCCGCGGGAGGAGGCCGTCGGCCGTCTCCTAGCAACTGTTGCTAGGGCAACGCCACCCCGCTCCCCGCTTGGGCAGCGACAGCTGACCAGGGCTCAGAGAGATGAGAGAGTCGGCAGAGGAGGGGCCGGCCGGACTTGTGCCTGGTTTTGAGTTATTGTTTACCCAATATAGCAAACATGTGATTTTGATATCGGCTTTCGGACCTAAGACTCAACCACAGTTTACATTGGTGGCAGCGAGTGCGTGCAAGCCTCAAGACCACGCCTTTCTTTTAAGTGCAGTTACTTGCTAACGAACGAAAAGTAAAGCCGATTATTTTCTGTGCCTTTTGCACTGACATTTTGGCCCGCTTGATGCGTGGCGACTGCGAGACAGTGAAGATCGAGCTAGCTTGCTTGCTGGCTATGATGAAACCAGATGAGACTACAACGGCTGCGGTGGCCAGCTACCACACCGTCTGCACTGCAACATCTTCGAGACTGCGCCATGAGACAGGTCAACTTCGAGCTTTCGTCCATTGAGGTTGGTGACACGCTGCTCCATGACCTGTGTGCGCATATTCAACATGTCGCTCGTAAAAACTGTCTCGGCTCCGGACAATGACTGCACAGTGGCAGTGAGTCGCGCAGTTTCTGTGAAATTCGTCGAGTGACTGAGGCCTCGTTCACTGCCTCACTGAACTGAACTTTTGCTGATTTCTTCACTGCGGTGGCTCATCGTTGATCGTCATTTTTTTGGAAGAAAAGTTATAACGCCATTTTTTATCTCAAGAAAAGTTAAAAAGTTACATCCTTTCCGTGTAATATCCTTTCATGTGTAGGTGCCTTTATTTTTCCTGGTCCTTTCATATGTGAGAAACGATCATTTGCCTGTGTCCTATCCTTTCCCAGTCGTACCCATTTTCCGGATTTTTTTTTCTGTGTGTTTGTCGCATTTCATTACGATGCCGGATGATGTAAAGCCGCCTGGTCTTAGTCTAAACTCTGGTTCTGAGATGGCTGTTAGACCTACAGTGCGTGAACCCGCTGACATTGCGATGTCGTCTTTTGTTTCTTTGCCGCGTTTTAATGGGGATGGATCTCTGCGCCGGTATTTGGATGATTATGACCGCTATGCTCGGATTCAGGGGTGGGATGAGCGACGCAAACTTGACGTTTTGCCACTGACTTTGACTGGCATTGCTCGCGATGCGTACGATGGGCTGCCTGCGTCCCAGCTTGGTTCATTTTCTTGTGTGTTTGAGGGGCTACAGTCGGCCTTTACCAAGGCGTCGGTGACTGACCACCATTTGGCACTTCGGAACTTGCGCTACAGTGCAGAGGAGCCCCTGGATGCATTCGTCATTCGTTTCAAAAAGCTGATGAAGCTGGCCTTCCCTACTGTAGACGACCTCACTCCTCTCCTGTTCAGTCACTTCCTCGCTACGCTTCCGCAGGAGTATTACACTGCCGTAATTGCCGACGGCATTTCTTCCTTTGATTCTGCCGTCACAAAGGTGCGCAATATTCAGTGTTCACGAGTAACAATCGGTGCTGCAGCATCCCCGCTTGCTTCCGCTGTGTCTCCCGACCAGCGTGCTCCAGGCTCTCAGTCATCTGTGAAACCAGTCCGTGTTCTTGAGTCTGAACAGTCTGTTGTCGATGCTCTGAACAAACGTGTCTCTGAGCTTGAGGCCCGCCTGGCTGCAGTGACGCACCAGGCCCAGATGAACCCAAACGTGTCCAACCGTCCCAACCGTGTCCAGCGTCCGAGAGGTGACGCCGCTGCTTCAGTGACGTGTCACTGTTGTGGCCGTGCCGGTCATGTCCGTAACCGGTGCCGTCTGAATCGCTGTCGATGTTTTGTGTGTGGCGGTGAAGGTCACATCGCCAAAGTGTGCCCAGAACGACAGCAGGGAAACGACCAAGGGTCCGGTCGTTCACACGGGGTCGCCGGTCGGACCCAGTAAGTAATGATGAAAAGTCAATCCCAATCACTGATACGATGCGCATTACGGGAAGCGTGTCTGGTGTCAAATGTGAGTGTTTGTTGGACACCGGCAGTTCAATTAGCATCTTGCATAGCTCAGTGTTTGATGCCCTTCCAAATGTGACCCTGAAACGTACCAGTGTAACGGCCAAGACTGCGTCTAAAGAAGACTTGCCTTTGTTGGGTCGGGTCGTAGTGCCATTCCAGATCGGTGATGTCACTTACCCCCTTCCCCTGTTTGTGTCTGACGCAATTGACGTGCCTTGTTTGTTGGGAGTGGATTTCCTTCAGCATTGTCCGTGTGTGATCGATTTGAGTCGGAGACGTCTTGTCATGGTTCCCAACGTGTCCGTTCGCTCAGTTTCTGCACAGGCTGTGAGTTTGGGCAACGTGTCTCTGAGCTGTGACCGCGTGATTGCTCCTGGTAGTGAAATGGTCCTTCAAGGTCTTGTGCCAAATTGCGATTACGTCGGCCCAGCTCTGATTGAGCCAGATGATGTCCCCTCTGGTGTTGAGGTGGTGCGTGCTATTGTCATTGTTGATCGTGCTTGTGTTCCCGTGGTCGTTCGGAATGTGACAGCAGAGCCGATCACGCTCTTCAAAAAGCGAAGTTTGGCTTCGGTCGAGGTTGGATTTGTAGAGCAGGCACCGGAGCTCTCGGCGTCGACAGATGTTGATGTGAAGAAACTGGCCAAACTCGATCAGTCTCTCCTCACTGACGAACAGCGTCAGAGAGTCCACGAGTTGTTGTCCCGCTATGCGGATATGTTTGACGGCCATATCGGCTTCACTGATGTGGTCACCCACGACATAGACACCGGCGACCACCCGCCCATTCGACAGGCACCCAGACGTGTTCCCCCTCACCTTGCAGCCGAGGTCAAGGCACAGATCAGTGAGCTGGTGGACCAAGGGATTCTCGAGGAGTCGAATGGCACATGGTCGTCTCCAATCGTTATGGTTCGAAAGAAGAATGGAAAGTTTCGTTTGGTTGCTGATCTGAGACGTTTGAATGCTTGCAGTAAGATTCCTGTGTATCAGATCCCGCGTATTGATGATACGCTGGATGCGCTGTCTGGTTCTGATACGTTTTGCCAACTTGACATGAACAGCGCGTATTTTCAGATCGGTGTGTCCGAGAAAGATAGAGATAAAACCACCATCACTACACCCTTCGGTTCGTACCGCTTTCGAAGGATGATTTTTGGTTTGGCAGGAGGACCTGCTACCTGTGCTCGTCTGCTTGATCGTGTGTTGGGAGATATCACGCCAAATGACTGTGTTCATTATTTTGATGACATTGTGGTTCACGGGAATGGAGTGGAGGATGTGTTGGCCAAACTTGATAAGGTGCTGCAGAGGTTGCAGGCCGCAGGGCTTACACTGAATCTGGAGAAATGTTCTTTGTTTTGTAAAGAGGTCAACTTTTTGGGACATGTAGTGTCAGGTGGTGGCGTGAGAGCTGATCCCGAAAAAGTAGCCAAGGTAGTAGACTGGCCTGTTCCTCGTACAGTCAAGGAACTGTCGAGCTTTTTGGGACTCGCGTCATATTTTAGAAAGTTTGTGCGCAATTTCGCCGAAATAGCTGCCCCTCTGTTTCAGCTGACGCACAAAGATGCAAAGTTTCAATGGGGTGACATGCAGCAGAGCGCGTTTGAGCAGCTGAAGTGTGCGCTGACGAGCGCCCCAGTGGTCTCATTTCCCAGGTTTTCAGCTGGTGCTGGTCGATTCCGGCTGGATACCGATGCTTCTGACACAGGCATTGGTGCTACTCTCTTCCAGGAGCAGGATGGAGAGGACAAGGTGATCGCGTTCGCGTCTCACAGGCTGTCGAAGGCGCAACGCAACTACAGCACCACACGAAAGGAGTTG